ATAAATCTAGTTTCATAATTTTCCAGATTAACAATTCCTCCATAGATGTATCTAAAAAATAATAAATAATAAATGAAATATTAAATAATAATAATAAATAAAATAAATTTAAATATATACAATAACATTATATGATCTTGATGATAACTTACTGAAGAATAACATTAAAAATTTGAGCAGAAATGCTTGATTTGATAATTATTTTCATATTATTTTCGTTTGTTTGAATATTTTCTAATTCTCTTACGATCGGAATTTCAATACGTTGAAATGTGCCATAAACAATTTTTCCTTATTTTCAACCTCAATCATTACATTATAATCATCTTTGTCATTAAGAAATTCAATAAGATTTTGAGATAATTTGTCAAAGAATTTTAAGGACATTATTCTTTTTTGTAAATTTTGTAAATTGCACGTTAAATTAAAAAAAGAAATGAAATGAAATGATGAATAGGAAACAATAGACAATATTAATTTATGCGATTAGTGTATGGCAAGCACACAAACAATTCTTATTCAGATATATGTGGTGGAACAAGTACACAATTTCTTTATTCAGATATACTGTATTAATTAAATAAATTAATAAATTAAGTACAAAATGTACAAATTTAACCAGCTAAATTATCCGGAGTGTAATTTTTTTTTTTAACAGTTTTTTTTTGCGAAACTGTTTTATATTATATTCATTCTTGTCAATAAATAAAAGAGTGAGTGACATTTAATTATCATATTTTTAAATTAGTAATAAATTAAATTGCCGATTAAATTTAATTTATAATATTTTATAAATCATAGTTAATATCAGTTATTTTCACACTTTATAGTACTATCTCAAAACATATGATATCGCCTAAACCAATCAATCTGTCAAGATGGCAGATAAAATATATGAAACGGGAACTGAACTTAATAATATATCTATTTCTAATTTTATTTTAAATAGTCGTGATATTCATGACAATTTTTTTGATGTAGACAACTTGGGGGGTCTTGACTCTTCAAAATAAGCCTCGCTTATCCCGTCGTAGCTAGTCGGGCCGTAAATCAGTATAAAGAAATTTATATTAGTTTTAGTCAATTCTTATTCTACAAATGTATTTAGTTTACTATTATTTATATATATTATGCTATTAATTGTAAACTTGGATATAATATTGAATAAAGAATAAGACCTTACGAGTCCGGAAAAAAAATAAATAAAATATATGCCACGTAATTTATTAGAATTATTTATTAGAATTATTTATCAGTTTTTATTACAATTATTTGTTATAAATAATTATTATAATTAAATCATTAAATAGCGAGTCATTAAAGTCACTGAGGTCACTGTCAACTGACACTGATCATAAAATAATATTAAGTTTAGACATATTACCGTATTCAAAAACTAGAAAATTGAATTGTTTCCTTACAATGACTGCTAGATCATATCTTGATTAAAGCCGAATTATAGCATTACATAAATTACATAGTTAATATAAAAACATGCACCAATATTTTTAAGAAAAATCTTTTGCATTTATATTTTTTGCTGATTTGAGAAATATATATAGTTATGCCATACAAAAAAAAAAAAGAGTAAATTTTTATTTTTTATAACTAGCGAATATGAACCGGAGTTTTTGTTATTATTATTTTGTATTTTTGGAACAAGAAGATCGATTCCTTTTTTTTTATCTCTTTGCTTCCATTCTTATCAAAAAATATTTGCACATAATTAGACTATTTTATTTATAATCTTAAGTCATTTTATTCCTTCATTTTTCAGTTCCTGATTTCAATCATTAATTAGAGCTAGATAAAATAAGTTAATTAAACATAAAATAATAGGTCTAACAAGAAAATCCAACTCTCCCCCCAAAAGCTCAAGTTCTGTAAAAGTAATATATATTCTTTTTATGATATTAATTTTTATCACTTTATATTCTAAATATAATACCTAAAATATCAAATGGAAATATTCCTATCTCTGAGTCAGGGCTGGAAGACATTAAATTTAAAAAGTGTATTTATAGCTCGTTTCGAAAAGCAATTTATCATTCACCCAATAACATTAAATACAAAAAAACAGATATGTAAAGCCGGGAATAATCAAAAAAATATATTTAAATTTTTTGTTTTTGTTAATTATTTATTGATCTTTTAAAAATTTTATCACAAAATTTAAAATTGATCTTTCGTAAAAGGATTTTTTTTTCTTAAATAAAAATGACAATTTTAAATTCTTTAATATAATTTTAAAAAAATATGATACGACCTTTGATATTTATTAAGAATTATCAATTTTATAAGAAAATTGGTTTTAAAATATTTTTTATTTTAAATAAAACAAAAAACTTTAATGGTTCTAATAGTGACTAATCATCAGTGATCATTTGCCAACATTGTAATTTTTTTATTTATTAAGTTATAAATTGCGAAGAACCAAATTTTAAATCGAATTTCTATTATTTTGGCTGACTTATTTAACTAATTTTATCTTTATGATAATAAAAGAAATTATTCGTAATAATATAATATAAAGAAGAAATATAGTACTTCACAATTAGATGATGAATTGTTTTATAAATTCTTTTTATTTTATTCGAATTCTATAAACTAAATTACTAAGTATATCATTAGTTACTTTATTTAAAAATTAAGATTTAAAAGGAAGGTGATACTGAAAGCATTGATAATTAGGAAAATTCTTCCGGAAAAGTTTTTTCTTTTTAATTATTTCTTTCGTAAATTTAAATTCAAAAATAAAAAATAAATAAAATAAAAAAATAAAATAAAACAAAATAAAATAAAATAAAATAAAATAAAAAATAAATAAAATAAATAAAATAAAAATAAAATAAAATAAAATAAATAAAATAAAGTAAATAAAAAAAAATAAAATAAAATAAATATAAAATAAATGAAATAAAATAAATAAAAGAAAAATAAAATAAAATTGAATGAAATAAAGTAAAATAAATTAAATAACTAAAAATCTTATCATATTTTCATGACATGGATAGATTAAATACTATAGGCAATGGTTCTGGAACATCTGACAATGTCAAATAATAAAAGAATGGAAGATGGTTTCAATTGATTTATTTACGATTCGTATATTTACTTTATTAAATTAATTCACTTTATCTTTATTTAATTAATTACTTTTAGCTATGATGAACTGGAACAATTTAACACATCGAGTATATCTTATTTCATTCTTTCAATTATATATATATATTTAAAAATATTTGCTTACATTATTTCTTTCAATCTGGATAATATAAGACTCAAAAGTGCAAATTAGAAAATTTTACTAATATTAAAAGAACATCTTGCAAAAAAACTTCTGACTTCAGCACATATTTATGTTGGAAAGATAAATTAAATATATTAAAAAAAAATAAGATTTAGGTTTTGTAATTAATATTTTAATTGAAATGACCCAAAAAATTATTACAAGTTGAAACCACATTTATTAAATAGATGAAAGAAACTTATGAAAAAATAAAAGATTTTATAGAATATTTATGTGGTAAAGCATCCTGTAAATTTATAATACATACAGATAATCCGTGTACTTTCATTTATAGTAAATTAAAATATTTACAGACATTGTTATAATTTCCTTATTTGTATATTCATTATCATTGTTTGCGTAGTGCTAAACGATATAACGTGGACATAGCTTCATTCATTTTTCAAGAAAATTGCTTTAAAGGAGAATTAAAAGGAATACATGAACTTGAATTCAGAAGGAAAATTTAGAAATAAAATACTAGAAAAAAATTTTTTTTTTTTGATTAGGACAATTATTTATAGAATAATAATAAAGTTATCTTGACATAGAGAAAAATTCAAAAGATAAAAGAAATACCTTGTGAAATCTGATCTACATTTTATTATTTCGAAAGAATGTTTGTATAGAAAAATTTCGAGGTATGGAAGTTTCTTCGGTTTGTAATTATTTTAGAAGAAAAAATGTTTATGTTACAGTAATAATATTATTAGAAAATTTTATTTACTAAATTTACTTTAAATAGTCATGTATATGAACTAAGTGGTTAGTAATTATTATTGACGGAAAATAAATATTGTAAAAATAAATACAAATAGTCATTTTGTATGGGTTTGATTTTTTCTGCATAGAAATGAACAAAAGAATGATGATCTTATGGATTTTGGACAAAAATCTTGTTTTGTGCTATTTTAAAATTGCTTCGTGTAACCGAGTAACCTGGATTAAAAAGTTTCAAAGAGTATTCCGATGTGGAAATCCAAAAAAAAATAGTATCCGAACAAAGACTACGTAGTGTCTAGAAGCCGAGATTTGCATTATCACTCAGCAGGCGTAACTTTATGATTAGAAAATTCTCCGTAATAAGAATTGTATGTTATGCTTATTGTAAATTTATTGAATCGTTCTTAATTTTGAGCAATATGATGAGAATGGATTCCGACTTCTTTTCAATGTGTAAAAGGCGTTTTTGATTCGTGGACTTTGAAATCCGTAATTCCTATTGTATAACAATTATATTAATTAACATGAAAACCCTTAAATGTCAATAATAAAATAGATTATAATTATATTTTCGGGTAGATCGCATCGTAAATATTATTTATAAATACTCATTCAGCCTTCATCTGAATCGAACAAAATAAAGACCAAAGGTCACCTTACAATTAAAGTGAATCCTATCAATTAAAAAATAAAGCACAATCCAGTTTCTTAATAGAAGGCACTTTTATTAATTCTATATAAACTCAAAGGTTAGGACCTTTTCAAAAAACTTTGTCGTTGATAACAACTATTCAAACTTTTTTTTTTCACATAGATTAGACTGTCCTTAGCAAATTAAGGCAAATTTTTCGAATAGATTATATATAACCTATTCAACTTTTTATAAGATAATTTACATAAACCTTTTAAATCTTAAATAATTTTATAATATATTTCATTTTCATTAAAAGACTTTTAATATAATTCTCGTGATAAAAAACAAAAGAAAATGGAAACTAAAAGTTTAACAAACTCAACTAAAGCAACCACGAAAAAATCTCAACAAAAGAAATTAAGAGTTGATATACCTAACCAATTAGATATTAATAATGTATACAATCCAAAATATGATGTTATCCAATTAATGTCTACCAGACGTAAATTATGTGC